AAAACTGTGATTTTCATACTGGGTTCAAAGGGTGGCGGTGTAAACATGGTGAGAGCCAGCAGATTGTCACACACCATTTATCACGTTTAATTGAATACAGCAACGAAAATCAACGCTAACCAAACACATGATCGCTGTCAATTCTGTCTGTATATTGAGATAATTAATATTGTGTGTGTAATGGTTTCCTTATAAAGACAAGAAATAAAATGACTAATCTCAAATGCCCCGGTTGGCATTTCAATGTTTAGTATCTGATGTTTTAAGGGTGAAATAGCTCCAAATTATCTAATAGCAGTAAAAAACATGCATGCATTCACAGCATTTATTGGCAATGGTCACTCAATGGTTGGATCAATTATTCTCATATGGTCTCACTATAGTCCCAGATTAAATCTATGTCAACAAATGCACAACATATTTCTAGACCCGCACCACTAAGGTTGCAGGTTTAAATCTTTGGCCAGTCGTACACCCTGTCTACAAACAAACAAGTCGTCAAACCCTGAGGTTACACTTTCATACCGTGGCCGGGGTCACCTTTGACAAGAACTTTGGAAAGGGATAAGGAGTCAGTCACTCACAATGACTGTGTACAAATATGTACAAAATATTAGTTGATCTTTTGAGGCCTCATTTCCCAAAAAACGACACTCTTACTAAGCCGCTCACAAGGTTTATGAAAATGATGTTACACTAATATTACCTTTGACATTGAGCTTTGCATTCCAGAATATAAGTCGGTTTGCGTGCAACTAGTGTGTAACGCACAGAGTTGGACTATTAGTGCCCTTCATGGGTCAGACTGATTTTCCACATTAAACACGCATGGGAGATAAACTAAAAGCTGAATGTGATCCACCTTTGGGAGATGATCAAGGTGTTAATGCATATGTCAGCGAGCCCCTTAGGGCTATATGGATAAAATAAAGATGGGGTTCATTACGCTTTAGTTAAGAGAATCTTTCCAAAAAACTGTCTTAAATATCTCTATTCAGAGGGTGTAGATCTCTTGTAACATCCCTGTATATAAACTGAAGTGCAACTGTGTTAGTAATCAGTCTTACCGACTAAGGTTGGTTTTGCGTGATGACTGTGGCAGCATGGCTAACGCAAACAAACAAGTTAAGTTCAACTACATATACTAATTGGAGACATGGAGTTATGCCTGCAAGCCCTTCCTCATGACCCCTATGCAGAGCCAGCACCAGTCCCTCAAACCCGTTTCAACGATGCCTTTGCTTGAACAAGAGCCTGAATAGAAATTACTGTTGGCCAACTGAAGGCCAGATTTGCATGTCTACGGCGGATGCGGATGGCACCAGACAGGGCATGTGACATCATTGTGGCATCTGCAGTGCTCCACAATGAGGCTAAATTAAGGAAGGAGAGGGTCACAGTAGTTATGGACCATCCTGAGGATGACCTAGAGCCAGTCCACTTGGATGAACGGACCAGCGTCCAGGGACAAAATTGTTCTTGTTTTCTCTTAATGTCTGCACGTTTTGTTTATGTCCTGTACAGAAGAGTATACAGGTCAATAAAAATCTGATTCTGAATAGGGGAACGTGTTAAATAATTTTGCAGAATGAAGCCTTTATTTATGCTTCATTTGTCAACCTGTGAATGAAGTTTACTTCAATGAATGAAGTCGAGCACCGGATGCTCGATCCAATATACCACAACGGCCACGCGTAATCATCCTGATGACTGACGTCTGGTTCAAATTAACAAGACTGTTTGAGCGCGAATCAGCCGGGACCAAGATAGCCTGATATCAATCATCTCAGACATTTGATCGACTTAGTTGAACCACGAACGAGGCCCTAATGTTATAAACAAAAAGGTATCCGTGTCTGCCAAAATTGAATTTCAACGATCAGTAGTAATCTTGGTAAAAAACTTGATCTGTCACAGTTCAGCTTCCCTCACTCCCTTTCACTAACCTAATGAGCTCATTCATTGCACCTGTCACACCACCTCATCAGCCCAATCCCCCTGCCACTCTGCTGCACCTATTCTCCTTAGTATTTGAACCCGCGTCTAACTGACACTCGCTGCCAGATCGCCCTCAGTGTTATGCTAGACTTTCCCCGCCATTCCTTCCTGCCAGATGTCCCATTGCCGCCCCTGGCTGTTTCTTCGAATCCCTCGTCTTGTCCCTGCCCTGATAACGAACCTCAGCACTTTGTCCCCGACCGTGAGTTTACCCTGAGGGTCAAACTCAAGACTATATTCTCCATTGTTTTCCCTGTGTGAATAAAGTTTGCGTCGTTCTGTCGTACTGCTTCTGGGTCCCCACCGGACTCGTTCCATGATCAGTGAACTGAAAAATAAATGCAATCCGAGCAGTTCCATTACCAGGATCTCTATGCCACTGTAAGGAATGTTCAAACTTTCCTGTGAAGCATCCCCTCTGGGGCAACATCAAAATAACGCTCAATAAAGGGTTAAAGTAAAAGTGGTTGAACCACAGATGCCAGCGTACCCCAGATCAGCTGCCCAATTCGTCCGCAGAGAGATTCCCGAAGTCCAGTGTTTTGGCAAAATTGTCCTTACGTCTTGAATACACTCAGCTCAGGGATTAGCTGAGCCCCCCAACCGGAACCTCCATTCGACATGAATACATTCAGCTCAATCTCTATTCCAGGATTTGGGAGCGTCAATATGTTGGAATGACCGCATTTAAATTAACGGCAATCCACTACCAAGCAGCTCACTAGCTCATAGCGTGTTTTCTAGAGCCCAAGGTAGTAATTGCGCAAAAAGGGAAAGCCTCCATTATTTATTTGACAATTGAGCACTTATTGTGCAAACAATAACACTAATTGCTATATGTTTTTAGATAAGGATTAACATGTTGGATTCAGATTCGTATAATGAACAGCCATGTGCTCATTGGAAATTAGAGATGGGAGGTGTCTTTAATCAAACCTCCATTTAACTTGTAAGATGAAACGCTGTAGCTTGTGTGTGTGTGTGTGTGTGTGTTTGTGTGTATTTTACTAACGACATTGAATAACATAACCTTTTACTTTTTCATTTGCATTGCCACGCAATAAAATTCGCTCAGAAAGATGCATCCGAAGTGGATTTGGTTCTGCAAGTTGAAAAATAAATCACTGCTAAGTATTACCATTTAATGTGTCTTAACTGGGCATATGTGGATTTCCGTTCCTGATGTGTGCTGTATCAATCTGAGGCGCACACACACTCAAGACAGGAGAGGACGGGATGTAGCAGCATTCATTCTAAATCCAGTAAGGCGGCTGCTTCCCTAAATCAGATGTTGTTACCTCCTAGAAGGTAACCACTGTGAAACAGTCTCTCTCTCTCTCTTTCTTCATTCACTTGATGGCTCGCCTGACAACCCCTCTCTCTCTCGCTCAAGCACAAATTACAAAAACATTAAAAAAGTGAAGACATCACTCTAAGAGGTAAGAAAGTCTGTTTTTGTCAGGCTTACCAATAAGCTATTCATTGATCGACTATCAATGGACCTTGAAAGGTAAAACACTCGGGTACAAATGTTCCACAACTGATTCCAATACATTTGTTCCAAATGCCCTTATATAACCTTTTATTATTTTGTCCGTGGAAGAAATTTGAGTTATTCTATAACTGCATAAATTCTCATGATGTCAATAAAAGTGAAACATAATTTAGGCATGTACAAAGAAACAAGGTAAAAGTTATTTGCATTCATATTAACATAAGTGTAGCAGATGCATCATCACGTAGACATGGGATCCTGGTGTTGTATGTGAGTATTACTAGTGCTGTTCTAAATATTTTAGTGCTACAGATCTTTAACTAAAAGACCAGGATCGTGAGAAGAACTTAAATACTTCCTGATTGTGTTCAAAATTAAAGTTTTTTTCGATGCTAAGAATCCCTTTTTTTTATTTTAACGGGCGACTGTGGCGCATGGAGTAGAGGGTGCAAGGTTCACGAAGCAAACCCCGGCTGCTCCATGTCGAAGTGTCCCTGAGCAAGACACCTAACCAGTTAAATGACATGTATTGTCATGTAATGTATTCTGAAAGAATTGTACATGGCACCATTTATTGCTTTCAACTGTTGTCAAAATTGTTATTTGTTTACAAATGGTATGTATTGGTCTTGTGTTGCTTTTTTTGTGGTCTTGAGCCGTTTACCTCCCCCACCTTATTTGTCTCGTGGGTCCACAGGACCATTGTGGCAACAAAATCAATCCATGCCAGATGATTTGATTTGACGAATCAAGTTGAGGATCTACAAAGACTCAACATTTTGTGGAGTTGAAGCAAGACGTCAAGGCTGGATGATTGTTACTTTTGTCACATTCCATACTGCTTCCTCCATCCATAACATAGTTGAGGAGAAACTTACGTTAGAAACAATGTCATTTGTTGGTCGGGCACAGCAGACCAGCCCTGAAGTGGAACACACTGATTAAACAATGTCCTGTTACTGGTCCTCGTCTCACTGTGTGCCTGGAGCCCAAATAACAGAACTGAGGAACCTCCAATTCCGTTTGAACAAGACACAAAGCTCCTCTCCTTCTCCTCCACACTCATTCCATTCACACGCTGAAGCTAATTGGTTTTTCATCAGCCCCCCTCTGCTCAGCTGTTTCTTCAACAATCAGTGGGTTACGTTTCTGTTGTTTCCTGCTAGTATGCATGCTCTTGCCCTCGGCGGTTGATCCGTTTTACATCCCTCACCTCCCTCCTGCTCAGTCTCTTGCTTTCTCTCTTGTCTCCAGAACAAAACCTCCTGCATGACGCTGCTCCTTAAATAGATCTTCATTAATTCGAGTTTTGTGGGGTTGGCGGCCCCACCCGGAAGGTACCAGTGTCTCTAGGTGGGTAGTTTTTCATTTTTCCACTCCGTTGCCATGGGGGTAAAACAATCGTCCGGATTCCATTGCTGTGCTAATTGGTTGATCTTACAAATGTTGCTCCACATACAACTGTATAGTTACTCGTTGCTCTGTGCCTGCTGCTTTCAGTATCAAAGACAGGAAGTGGGCTCCAACCAAGGCGCAGATGCCATAACCCCTGCAGAGGGTACAAGCGCTCTGCTCCATCTGGACACGTAGCGGCGTGAGCGGGCGGCAGAAAACAAGCAGAGCTGAGGTGGAGAGGCGGCAGAGTGTCTGGTCGGCCGAGTTCAAAAGGGAGTAATGAGGGAGCAGCTTTGAAGTGCAGGGAGCACAGAACATCGAGGAGAAGACCACCTCCATTGGAGCTCGGGTTCTAAGTGGGTCGTACAGTCTGCCTTTGTTACCAGATACTGTTTATGTTAGTCCTCGTCTCCCCCTTCCTCGCTAAACATACACTGTGCCCTCTCCTCTGATGCACTGCTCAGACTTCAGCATGGCTGAGTTTTTTTTCTCTCTGCTGGCTTTTGGGGGTATGAATTCCTTCCCCAGTCATAATTTCTATTTACTCATTAGCGTATGTTACATTTCTACTTGAGGTGGATCTTGGCGGGCCTGGAGACTGTAAACAGCATCATCTCTTCCTTCGCTGTCTTTCAAACATCCTGCTACGAGCTCTCCAATATGAGTTTTTTATTTTCATTTTGAAATTATTTATTCATTCCTCAGAGATGGATGTCCCTCTGGTGTGAGCTGTGCATCTTGTTTCATTGCTACTGGAGCAGGTATGAAAAAAAACAGGATATTAACTTTTTTCATTTACCCCAAACTGGACTCTTTGAATAACGTGGCATATCAATCACTGATCATCAGACCTCTTTAATATCTGACATTTTCTTTGATCTCGTAGGCGAATATCCTCCGGGCCAGCGGGTTTATTGCGTGTCACAGCCTGTGAGATGGGAATACAGTCTTTGCTGCATCTGTTGCAGACAATATACCTTTTGATCAACTGCACGACAGCCATCTCCAGACTTCTTTTCATTCCTCTTTTCATGCACAAGTTCAGAGAGAAGCGTATCTATACAAATATATGTATATTATCAGCACTGCTGACCGAAAGAAAGTATCTTTTAAATCATCCTTCAGTTTAGACCTTTCTTTCCTTTTGCAATTAGTTCAAAATGCACAAGTGTGGAATTCAAAGTGTTATGCAGGATTCTTTATCACATGCTTGATGTTTCATCTCACAGCAGCCTGTTGGTGAAGATGCTACTTGTTTCAGGATTTGATCAAAATCTTCTTTGCTTGTGTTATTAAAAAAAAAAACATGTAATTACTGTATCTTCTTTTGATCCAGAATGCACTTAAAAGTGCAGAATGTATGGTATTATGTTACATGGTTTTACATTATATTATGGCTGTCGGACCATGATGAACCACAGATGGTAATTCATTATCAATTTGACAACACAGGTTTGATTTATTCAATTCACTGGCCAACGTTTTTAGTCTTTTGGCTGGAGCAGGCTCGGTTTTAAAGCTAGAGTGAAGACACAGGTTTATTTATAACTCTCCAACTAGAAAATATTTATATATATATATTTCTTTATATATATATATATATATATATATATATATATATATATATATATATATATATAAAGAATATGACATTGTGAAAACATTGACCTCGGTAATTTAGAAGCAAATCTGTATCACAGTATCAAACCCAAAATATTCCGTATAATCGACATGCATGGTGTCATAATAATTATGCATTTCATCTGTAACACACTTTTCATTCAAAAGAGTGTCACAGAGCAAAGTATGCTCGTCATCCAGATAGTATAGTATGTTAAGTGCATATTAACAGTACATAGCCTTCAGCTTTTTTCTAACGCCACTATTATTTTTATTTATTATTTAATAATATATTTATTATTTTTATTTGTTTAATCCATCCTGCTGTGTTCCTGAGTCCATCTCTGTCCATTGTCTCCTGAATTCTTCCCATTTCTCCCTCTTGCTCCAACCAGTATCTGACCGGTCTGCCGAGACAACCGGTCCAGCGGTGCTGATGGGTCTGCTGCTTCCCTGCTCGCATCCCCATTGCATGGCAGCGAGCTTGCGGTGCTGGAACTGCTAACAAGCAGGAAAGCGAGACCTCCAACCAGCTTAGAGTGGAGCTGACCTGAATTTACATTAAGCATCCATTCACAATGTGGCTGCATGTGATATTGTGTGATTTATTCTCATATCACACATATACTGCACTATAATACTAATAAATAATATCTAGCAGAGGAATTTGGCGTTGCTCACCAAAAGCTCAGATCATGGTTAACTGAATTCAATACATAGCCCCGTGACATTGAGGCAAGAGTCCAAATACTGTGTTCAGTTTTTTTTCTTTTCTGCAGTGAAACAGCAATCATTTTCTTCTATATTGAATTCAATCAAAAATTGGTTTAAATAATATTTCCAAGACAGACTACTTTGGTAAGATACAATTGTACTTACTTCACTACATAAAGGCCCCATCTTCCGCCCAGCGTAGTTGTCATCTTCCTGTCCGGTGCCCTAGTTGTGTCAGTAACGAATGTACTTGCTGTGATCTGTGCACCGATGGTCTAATCCGTACTACGGCCCAAATGCAATTAAAAGAACTTTCACAGTTAAACCATCCGAAGGGTAGTTGGAAACATTATGAACACAGTTGTCACCGTGCTCTAAAGATTTTTTTTTTAAAAGGGTCCCCACAGTTACTTTGTATATTCAGCTTTAACTGCTTACTTTGCACCAACAAGTTACTAATATTTAAAAATTTTGCTATCAAACCAGAAACTTTTTTACCTTGCCGCATTCACATGGCGACAGCTGAACCAAATCCGAGACATTTTCACCGTTCTTTATAATGAGGAGCCGGGTTTGACGCCAAACAAAGGGAAAGCATTAGAATTACACACCTGGTATTAATGTGGCTGCTAATAATAGCATGAAAGAGGAAGAAGCATTGGAGAGAAGACAGGCAAGGCAATGGAGGGTAAAAGAGGGACTGGGGGAAGATTGGGGGGGGAACCCAAAGAAAAGGAAAAAGCCACAGTAATGAAAAGAGAAGGAGCAGTGTTTGTCAGGGGAGCAGACGCGACGCCGAGCAGTGCTGGTGCCAGTGTCACGGTGTGGTTCACTTCCTGTCTTATTTTGTAGTTTTCTGCCACTCGTGTCCCCGGGTAACTTCACTTCCTGCCTTGTCCTGTCATCCCCTGTGATTGTCGAATTGTTTCCACCTGCACCTCCCTAGTGTATTTAAGCCGTGTGTGTTGTTTGTCACTTGTGGCGTCATTGTCTTTTGTCCTGGAGGTTCCTCGGTCCTGCCAGCCTTTTTCCCCCCTGGTACATGCATGTGTTTTTTGCCCGTTGGCCTTTTGCTTTGTTGGAGTTTGTTGCTTCAAAGTCTGCGTTTGAGTCCTGCCTTCCTACCCAACCCCGACAGCCAGCTGCACGTTGGAGAAGCGACCTTTTGCCTCTTTACTTCACTCCCTTGCAGTCTTTCACCTTTCCCCTTGACTTGGTTCTTTCCTGCCTCATACTGTCTGACTGCATGTCAAAAAACACCACACAGTCTTACAAGCATGCAGGGGGACAAACCGCATGCGGCAGCTTCAGAATGGGCTCCCTGAGGGCCCCATCCCATCAGCCTCCATAATCAATGGAGGCTTCAGGGGGAGCGAAGCTCCGGCTTTAAGGAGGAAATGAACAGGCTATGGACACCTGCCAAGTCGACATAATAAAAATACAAATGAAGTTAATTGCAAAGGCTTCGGATGGAGGAGAAAAGATCACGTTAAAGAAATCAATGAAACCTCCCTATATTCTGTTTGTGCGATGGAGGCTGCAGCACACTATACGGCCCATCAAGGCTCACAGCAGAGTCAGGTATTTATTAGGTGAATATCGTGTGACACTTTTCTGATTCTGGGCATCAGCCTGTTATGATACGTCCCGCGGTTTTGTATGTGAACGGCGTTAACGTGCAGGACAGCTGTGCTGCTGGAGCATTGAGCGGCCCCGTTGATCTGTCTCCCCATACACGGATAATGATTTCTCCTGCTGATGGAGGGTCTAACCTTGAGTCCTCCAAGGCCTTGCTCTGAAGAATGAAGAGGACGTGTCTCGGGGAAAATGAGCTCTATTCTGCTCCTGATGGTTATTGTCACTTGGCATGGTATCTCCAAAGATGCATGTGTGAATGCTGAACAAAAGGAGAAGTAAGCAACATGGAAATACACTGTGTACTTGTTATTGAAAGCTTCAGATTACTTTCCCAATAGCCCTGCTTCTATTATCATTAATGATACCTATTTGGTGTCCGTGCTGTGTCTTCCTGGTCTCGTTTTTTCATAATAACAATGATGTCCAAATAAGGAAGAGTGAAAATACCTACTGAGAAAGTGCATGGCCTTGTCTCCTAAAGTATACGTTACTATATAACTCATCTGCATTGTCTGTTGCCTTTCAAGACTGTTTGTCTTTGAGGTTTAACAATGAGTAATTAGTCTGCACAAAGTCATGGAAAGCGTGTTCCCTGTTTTGAGAGATCAATAAATATGAATTGTTAAATACTTATATAATGTTCTTTTTTGGAGGATACAGTACATTTATGTTTTAATTCATTCTGCACATTTTTTTCAGTCCATATAAAGGCATCACTCTTGTTTCATCTCTTGTAAAACAAAAGTCATATTTTCAAACATTAGCACATTAGTGTATCCAATTAAATTTAATTTGGGGTGATTAACTAACCGTAACCCAGGACATAAAACTGGAATTTTCTGTTACTGACGCTGACATGCTTTCATTTCACTGAGATCTTAATGAAGCCTGCCACATGTGGAGTGTAGTGGTTTTCTTAATGAATTATTACACAATCATTTTGGTGCTGATTAACTCCAGACTAAGGTCTCCCGAAAATAGAATTGTAAGCGTGCATTTACAATATTTCTTTTGATATTATGGACTCCGACAAACTTACTTTGAAAAACACAGTACGGTGAAGTACGCTGACGTTTTGGCACTCAGCATTGCACAGTTCATTCTTTCCCCATCCTCAAGCTCTTGTGCGTCAGCCAGCTGTACTTTCTGAGCTGGCAAAGAGAACAAAATATTACAAGGAGAAGAATCTATTTCCTCAAATCATAGAAGGGAGCAGCCCTGTGCCACTTTGACGTTTGAGTTTGTGTCATGAGAGCGCAGTGAATAAGTACACGCTGAAGCTCATACGCAGCTCACAATCCCTGCCGTGGCCACTCTGATCCTGCTCCGCCTGCTTACACTCAATTACAGTGATGTTTTACACTGCTGCAAGCACCAAAGTATCCCTCCCTTTGTGTTATTTAGCCACATGATAAACACCACCTTTGTTAATGGTTGCAGGAGGAAATTTAAGTCACTAGAAAATGATTGTTTAAGCTGCTGCAGTTTTTTGAAGCATAAATCTTGTGATGCTTTTGTTGGTTGAGCTATTACAACAATCCTGAAGGGCCATGTAATGACAAAAGTCTATGCTATCATCGATTAATGAAAGGAGTTTTAAAGGAGACGGTGAATATTGCCTTCTATTACAAATTCATCTGCCAGAATTTAACCTTCAAGTACAAAGCAATTTGTATTTGTTAAAAGGTGAACTTCGATATTCCTTTTCGCCGGATGGATCCATCACATATCACATTTCTCGATGAAACCGTTAACATGCAGTTAAATGAATTTGGACTCCATTGTGTGAGTGCAGGGGGAGGTATACGCGGTGCAGTAGAGATAAGTGTTTGCAGGGCAGATGATTGGAGGAGACGTTCACACAGTTACCGTCTGCTGGCGCAGAGAGGACCAGATAAGGACTATAGCTCTCAGGGCCTTCAAGGCGACGCCTCTGCTTTGCCTTCAAGTGTATAGATATTTGTACCCGCTGGACATTGAGAGGCTTTCCCCCTTTTCGAATTTCTCTGACAATGTGCCTACACGGAGATAGTTTCTGCAGGCCGACAGATGGGAGGATATGAGGCCAGGCTCTTCCCAGCAGGTGTATGTTGATGCACACCCTTACATCGAACCTGTAGGACGCACACACCGTGATAGATGTTAAAAAGAAGCCCACTTAAGGTGAAAATACTGTTACTTGTATGACATGAATCATGTTAAATTGCTAAATACTGCAAAATACAGTTAAAAAATACTTTTGCGTTGCTACAATAAAAGGTTCAGTTGGTAATCTTAAAAAACATGTAAATGTAAAACAGTAATCAACCAATTAAATGCTCTGAAAAGATAAAAAGACTGT